ATTGTCAGTTTTCACTGGCCTCAGCTTCCAGGTGGGTAGATGAATAGAATGGGAGAGCATGACTATGAAATTGACAGAAATAGTTGGTACCTATTTCAAAGGGCTTCTCTGAGTGCCTGGATTATAACCACAAATTTTAGATGGGGTGATATATTGGTGTCTTATCAGTATGCTGGATTTACAAAGGCTCTTCCAACTCATTTAAGTCAAGAAGAGTCACTATTCTTAAAAGTTACATTTAACTTGAAAGTATGAGTTCTTCTTTTGGTTCTGTCACTGGAAGGATTTTGGACAAACCAGTGCCTTTTTTGGAACTCATTACCTACATGTGATGTGATTCTAGACTCTGACTTTTATGGATGTGCTTAGATGCAATGAGGCTAGAACTGATGAAAGAGAATTATTTATAAGACGTAAGTGATAGAATGGGCGAGCTTAATACACAAGGAAAGCAGAAATGGAGAGGTGGCAAATATTGATACTTGACTGAGGAGCACCTGAAGGCCTAGAGAATTGTTGATACAATTGTTAACAGAGACAGCTGAAAATGAAACAAAATGGGGGCCCTACTATGCTCAGGGCCCAGAGTGACTGCACAGGTTACACGCCCAGGAAGTTGGACTTGTATGCCAATACAGTATGGAGCTGAGACCCACAGAAGGTCATTGACAGAACATGAGACAGTCAAAAGAAGAGGAATTCAGTGTAGACCAGAAGAGAGAACATGTGTTGGCCTCCCAGCCCCTTTAGTTAGCTGGAACTGGACGTTTATATAGAAAATACACTTAATTGTATTTGTAGTTTGGTGGCATATAGATTATATAGTAAAATGTATGTAGAACTCAACACATAGTGTGCTTTCAATCTTTCTTGACTTGTTTCATAAAGATCTCAAGCGAAACAACTACTCCAGTGTTGCTATAGAGAGTTCTTTGGACTGAGTCCCTCTTGACCACTACTGTCAAGATTCTGGTGTCCCAGCGGGTGAAAATATTGGGTTGTTGAAAAAATCATGACGCATTTTTGCAATGAAAAACATAGAAAAAATACGTCATGACTTTTCTGACAACCCAATAAATGAACCTCCCTGTCCCACTTCCACGTGTCCCCAGACCTCCTCACAGGTGCAGATTTCCCAGCCGTATGGTGTGACTTCAGTCCCAGGGGACACCATATATGCCACATATGACTTAGACATAAGCCCCTGCCACCCTCACCCACCCTGAATCACAGCCTTGATCTTCTGAGATCAAGATCCATTTGTGCAGAAGAGACTTAAGGATAGGACACCAGTGAGTCTTCCTGCATGATGCATACAAATAAACACAGCTCTCCCTAAGCAGATGAGTGAAACCATCAAACTTGTGTTCAAATAGCTTCTCTCTGCTGCCCCACTCTCTCACTGGTCATCCCTTTCTCCTTGGCATGAACTCTCCTCAAGGGGTCCTTGGTTTGTGTTCCACTATTCCTCTACCTCAGTCAGATTGGCCCATTGCCCATCAAGCCCAGACCTCTTTTCTCTCTTCTCAACAAGTCTTATTTGACTTGCCTCTTTCCCTTGGGACTATCCGATGTGATTGGCCAGAAGGAAATAAATCTCATTCATTAATTTGAACTAAGACTGATGGCTAACACTAATTTGGTGGATTGCTCTTAAGGTTTAATGTCTTAGCTCAAGGGTGAGTAATGAGAGATCATTAAGTGCCCAGGCTGATTCTTTGCAAGAGACTTCTCCAACAGAGGGGCCTTTGATTGACATTAACAGTATTCTAGTTATTTCACCAAGAGTAAAGTCCTGCTCTCTGTGAATCAAGTGAAAAAACAATAGGCAATTAATATTTGTGTACTGTTAAATAAAAACTTAAATGATATACTTTTTGCTTATCTAATGTTGAAGTAAAAAATAATGAATGTTGTTGAGAATGAAGTATAATTGACACTCTTATATAGTGCAAGAATGTAGACTGACACATACTTTCTGGAGAAATTTGGCAGTTTGATGGTAATTATTAAACTACACACATGCACACATGGACACACATACACACACATACACACGTTATATACCAAGGTGCCAAAAAAATGTATACAAGTGGACACTTTGGTCAACGTTGCTCAAGCAGTAGTTTGCCATAATCAGAAGTGTCTGGNGAAGGATATTATGGGGGCCATGTTTATAGACACACCTGTAAGTGTCTGTAAGTTGGGGAGTTGATGGAGTTGTTCTGTTTTATTGGAATTTTTATGCTTTCTGTGAAATAGGACACTGGAGTCAAGGAGTTTGAGGAGAAGCTCTCAGGAAAGACTGAAGGTAAGCATTTGAGGAGAATGGAATGAGGAGCTGCCCAAGGACAAGCAAAGAGGAGTCATAGATGGTGCTAGCGGCTCCTCTGAGGCGGGATGGTATGAATCTCAGTGATTGCAGATGAAAGGACTGCTCTCGACAGCACAGATGCAGAGGAGTTTCCCTGGGACTGGTCCAGCTTTGTGGGTGTTACCTGGTGCCTGCAGGGAAAGCATACAGCATTGAGGGAGCTGGCAAAAGAATTGACAATGGGGTCCAGAACTTAGTAATGAAGGAAACTGATCAGTAGAGTGCTGATAACTTCAGAAAAGTGGGCATAAAAGTCTCATAGGGGCTCTGTGAAAATTATATGTGATAATCAACATACAAATTTTGTCAGGAAGTATGCAGACAAGGTCTGTAATTTTACCCTGCTTACAAATGAACAAGTTAGCCTGCACAGGATTCTGGTAGAAGACATGAGACTCATGGAACAGAAACAAAGTTTATTACTCACAGTAAAAGCAGTAGCCAGAGCTTCATGCTCATTTCCGTTGGTTCCCTATGTCCCCCAAATCCCATGAGGGCAACACAAGGCCTGTGATAGATCCATACACAGTGGGTTGAGTTATAGGAGAGAGACCCACAATTTGGGGATTTACCACCTTCTAGTAAGCAGAAGCAGGCTTGCTCTTTGTCCAGGGGGAGATGTTACCTCATCCCTCAAGGTTACTTACTGCAAACACAATTCTGAGAAATGGCCTGGCTAAAAAGTGGTCAGGGCCTTGCATTATTGGCACACCCNTGGGCTTCATATCCTGGCCCTTCCTCCCTTTTGAGACATGAAATTGGTGGAGCTGTCCCCAAAGGAAGGGGGATGGGAGGAAAGGGAGCAGATTGGAATTTGATGCGATGATGGTAAACATTCATGATAGAGGATTCAGAAACACTTTTGTTCAAGCTTTGGACTTGTGCATGTCATCACAGGCAAAGGTGTGTTTTAGATGGTCTTGCCTTTAATGGTATTCATATTAAAACTTTACTTGTATGACTGAAAATTCACAGGAGATATTTAATAATATAAAGTGATACCACTTTTGGCAGATCAATGTTTGGGGGTTACTCATATTCCCTGTTGGGACTTAGTTTTAACAGGAGTCATTACTTTTAGATGCACGTAGTCGTGTCTTAAAAATCAGCCTTAATCTCAACAGATCCCAGACTGTGTGTTGACAGAGTTATAGCCATTAATCTGATTTGCTTGATCCTGTAGAGATGCTAAACCATGGGAATTGTAGCCTGGTGGAACAAATATGAGCGTGCATCAACAGGCTGGCCTTGCGAGGGAATTGAAGCATCCCTGTGTTTAGTGTCTGTATAGAGATGCTGACAAAGCAGTCATCTGGGTGCCCTGTAATATGATAATTATGAAAGTAGGAAGACAGAAAGAATGCTATGAACCTCCTTAGCTAGTCAACATATAAAAGGCAGGGTTCTGGGAAATGGATCACTCCCTCCCACCTAGGTTTCTCAAGTTCTCCGGCTAGATATAAAACATGTCCCTGTAATCTGTATTTCTTTAGGCTTTGAATATATAATGCCACTATATATATATATATATTACCAAGACTTTTGTAATTCACCTCTGTAGGACTTGGGCTACTAGCTAAGTTTCTTCGTCTCCTTCTCCTCCTCCTCCTCTTCTTCCTCCTCTTCTTTTTTTTTTTTTAAACCAATTTATCTATTTCCTTACCTTAATCAAAACTTACCTATATTGTGTTCCGTCTTATTAGGGCTATGCTTATTTCTACCCTCTGAAGAGTCATACAGAGATCATTGTTAAAGACCAACCTTTTTCAAATTGAACACTTTCTTACCTTGGTCTTCTGAAGACTGTTGGGAGAAATACTTCGGAGGGAAGCAGGACTTTTTTTTCCTTTAGTAACGAGAAAAACAAACAAGTTTATTATAATGTGCATCACACTTACATATGGGCGTACCCAGACATGAGTAACTCCAAGGGGTGGTTAGAACTTGAGCTTAAATGCCATCTTAGGCGAAAGGAAAAGGAGTTTGGGGCTTCTGGGTGGTAGGGGTAAGTTATGGGAAAGTGACCAGAAATAGTATGATAAGCAAGGGTTGTTTAGTAAGGTTTGTTACGCAGATTTAAGTCAATATCTTCTCCATTGATAAGAGTTAATAAGAGTTCTCTTCCTGACATGAGAGGAGACAACTTTTAAAATGAAAATATCTTTATAAATGTGAATTTCCTTTATAAAAGAAAATGCCTGCACTGTTTTTAAAGCTTTTTCTGCATCACCTGGTTCTCCAAGGCCTTTTAGCTCAGAATAATCCATATGATAAAGCGACATATTTTGGAGTAGTGTATTCTGGTACCCCTCATTCTGCCCTTTGAAACTTCATTTTTTTNCCGCTACCTATCTTCCTCCTCTTCTGCGTTCGTTCCCTTCTGCTCCCTACCCAAGCGGTTCCGAAGTGCGTTGGTGGGGCCCCCAGAGTCACCCTCAGGCTCCTCACTACAGAACTGTCGTTAACTCTCAGGTCCCAGCTCTCTTGATTCGCCAGTGCAGTCTCATTCCCAGCTTGGCACAGGAAGGGTGGACGGGTAGGAGGGCGGGCGGGGGAGGGAGGGATGCAACGCTGGATTTTGAAGCTGGATGTGTTTAGTTCAGAGGGGTCGCGTCTCCTTACGGTTGGTTTGAAAGCAGAAGCTGCTTCATGATTATGACTGGCAATGGCTACGAGGATATCTGTTGCTGCTTTGTACTTATATTTATAGGTGATACTCATCACCACCGTTTTCTTCTTTCACCATCACCATCGTCATCATCACCACCACCTCCAGCACCATCATCTCTTTTCCTCCAGCAGAGCTCCTCAAGGTCTGCAAAGGCAGACTCTGTTCAGCAATGTAAGTGCTGACCCCCCAAATAACAAGCAATGCCCTTGCCCCCTGAGGCCAGAACCTTGTCCTCAGCTAACTCAAGGACAAGTAGCTGGGAACAGGGTGTGAAGGGAGGATGGGGGGGAGGGGGGGCTTTCCTTTTCCCCATTTGTAATTGAGGTTCACACAAAAAACCCTTGTGTTAATCACCCACACTGCTGCTTGCTGACTCCTGAAGAGTTTGACATTGACACTCACACATTCCTGATGGCCCCAATGCAGAGTCCTGGGCCTGTGGTGCAGACCTGTGTAATGTGGGTGCTTCAGGCACTGGGAGGTGAATGTTCAGATCCAAGCCTTTATGAGGACCAGGTCAAGTAACTTAGCGTCTGACTTTCTTCCACAGTGGCTCCAGTTGTACTAAACCATGATCCATGTTTGCATCATCATGTGTTATGCCGCTTTAGGGGAATCTAAGTTCCTGAGAGAGAGAATTGTGTCNCTTGTAATTGCAGAAGTCAAACGTGACGTGTACTCATCTTTTGTTATCAGTATATATTATTACAATTTTAATACAGTTTTTTCCCTTTTTAAAATGTGTATACATTTTTTGGCACTCTCTTTATTTATACACACATGCATATATGTACACATATATAAATATCTGAAGGACTTATGTGAAGGTCAACAATGCCCTGTACCGTGTGGCTCTGCCAATCACTCCAGTCTCATGTCCCACCCTCTCCTTTAAGCTCTGGGTCTATTCACCCAGGCTTCTCTCAGTTCTTCAATACACCTCATATTCCCTCCTGCCAGGGAGCTTTGCACATATTCTTTCTGCCTGGGTGGCTCTTCATCCTTCTTTTGACTAATCGATGCCTGCTCATCTCTCAAATCTCAGTGTAAAAGTCACCTCCTCAGGAAGCCTTCTCATATCATGACTCTGCCCACCCCCCACCCCAAGTCAGACAATTTCCCTTATCTTCTGCTTTTAGGGACTTCATTCCTTTCCTCATGGTACTTAGCCTCGTAACAATGTTCTTCTTTGTGTGATATTATTCCTGTCTCTCTTTGTGCACTCTACACTCAAAGAGAGCAGGTTTGTGTTCACCTTTCCATCTCCATGTCTAGAAAAGGGCCTGGTATTTAGAAGGTGCTCAAGAAATACTTGCTGATTCAATAAACAGATGGTGAGATCATATTCCATTTTTATTTTCTCCTTTGTACTTTCTGTATTTTTCAAATTGCAATGATCATGTGATTTTTTTTTTTACTAATAAAAAGAAAATCATAAAAAAGCTTTTCCTTGCCTTTGAGGCTGCAGCTGTTCTCTGCAGAGCCTGCTGTCTTTGGCAGTGATTCCTCTGACTGCTGCTGTTCTAGGCTAGCTAATGCCATGGAACATGATTATGCTGCATTGTCTGGAAGTTGTGCTCCAGGAGGGGTAATTCTGTCCTGCTCATCACCATTGGGTTATTTGCCACAAAGCAGGTGACGCAGAATCCTGCTGTTGTCTTTCTCCTGCCTCAGGGTGTAGCCTGGTGGCTTTCATGACTCAGCAAATGACCCTTTGACAAAGTGGCATACCAAGCCTGTCTTGCCAGCTAATGACAACACAATGGGATTTTACTGAGTGCAAGTCCTACTGTAGTTTCTGCAGATATCTCTTGGCATGAAACCCTCACACATCATTCCACTCCACTCCCCCATATTCAGGAGAACTATAACCATTGTGGCTTTTCCTGTTGAGTCACACCTAAGCTTTTTCAGGGAATTAATACGAATGATTTAATGGCTTCAGCTTAAGACTCAAATTCTTGCTTTCTTTCTACAAACTGACAGCCTAAATGCAATTATGGTTGTAGCTAAGCGAGAGTAATTTCTCCACATGGTGCTTCAAGTGGCATTTAAGATATTTTTAATACTTCTGTAGGCAAGCTAAAAAAATCTTGTTAGTCTGCAAACATTTTACCAGCCTCCACAATGTTCACCTACACATTGAAACATTACAAGGAGAATTTTTCATTTCAAATCCTTTTTGAAATGAGTTGGGAAATAAATAAATACAGATAGCGCATCAGAAGAGACTGATACCTCTCGATATGAAGAGGCATCATTCTGGGGGTTTGAGTAAATATTTTCAACTGTCATTCAATTTCTGACTTTTCCATGGCCAGATTTATCTTTTCTCAGGCTGTGAACACACTTTAAGGGACAGTGTTGCAGCAAAAAGCTAGTTTTTCTGTCTTAGATCCCTTGATATGCTGCAGATTGGCATTGTGATGCCATTAAGTATTTTCAGGAAATGTGGGGGTGATGAACAGCTATTGATCAACAGAACAGCAACTATATTAGGATGACTGCGGCAGCAGGCAAGTTGCATTTAGCTGGCGTTGAGATGAAAAGCTGATTACACAGCCGAGGGCAAATGAGGCAGAAACATCTTGGAGATTTGCTTGCAGTGTCCTACATTTCAGGGTGATGTGATCATTGGTTTCGTGTTTAATGATTCCCATGGCAGCCTTCCTCTTCCTATAGGTTATTTGTCTTGGGGTTGAAATAAATCTAACAAAATCTATCCTGGAGACTGTTGCATGCATAAATTTACCCCACTCAGGATAAAGAGCATTAACACTAGTGGTCCTGTGGTAGGCGCTCTGGGATCACTTTGGCATCCCCCATCCGACACAGATGAGGACACTGAGGTTGACTGGTGAAGGTGATTTGGGCCACATAACTAGTAAGCATGATGAAGTGTTGGGCTCTTTCTAGAATTATTCGTTATGCTGTCGTATTCCATCAGAGCACAGTCCTTCTCTATGGAAGGACCAAGGACATTGCCCTGGGAGTGCTCCCTGGGGTGCTCTTCTTGCCCAGGACTCCCACTTCTAGTGTCCAGTCTCCATTTTCACCCCAGTTGGTCTCTTCTTGACATCCACACACGGGTTCACCAGATGACTGTTCCCTGACATCCACTCTTGGGCGAAAGAAGCTCCTTGCTCCTGGATGGTCACAGAATGGGGAGGCGGGACTCTGAGGCAACAGAAGATGTCACCTCCCACATCCCATCTCTTTTTTCCCCACCTGGATTAGAGTCCTTCCCAATGGAACCATCAAAATGTATGCGTTCGTTTCTCTGTGTCTGGAGTCCCTGCTTCTTTTTTGAACATCTAATTTTCTAGGTCACACATTAAAGTTATCCACCTCGGGAAAGGTCAGCAATTCAATTAAATGAAGCAGATCACTTATTATATATAAGTTATGGTGGGGATGAAAAGGTAAACCACAGCCAATCCTCTCCCTCGAGTTGCTTTTAATCTAGAGGAAAACAGAAATATGTCTGCAGCCCTTTACAGGGGACAAAGGGGTTAGAGAAGTATAAACAACACACTACAGAAGCACAGAGTTGAAAATGAATTCTGACAGGGAATGAGGAAAGGCTTCAGGGAGGAAGTGGTTTGTGAGCTGGAGCTTAATGGTGGAAAGGCCTGTTTATCTCATTCTTTGAAAGGAAGCACTTAGTGGTTGAACTCCAACATCCGCGGCTTTCATTGACTGCAGAAAGTTACAACAGTAGGGCTGGGAAGCTTCAGGTATATGGTAGGATCCAAGTGAATCCAGAGCCTGGCTTACGTTTATCTTTCTCCCTTTCATGCAGGAAAGGGATGGTTTAACATTTGGAGAGAAATTGAGAGTTAGTGATCTGTGGGTAGTCATGTTTCCTGCTTTTCGAGGTAATGGTAAAAGCATAAGTGAATGTGTGCCTTGCAGAAGTCCCCTTCCCCGGTTTTTCCCCTCTTCCCTTCCCTAGTTCAAGGTCAGGAGCAAGCCTTTTTGGGCAGTAAGCTGCTGGAGTTATTAAATGCATTTCATATAAGATAAACAGTCCTTCCAAAACTTTAGTGTGTAGGAATCACCTGAGATATTTTATTAAAAATGCAGATTCTGACTCAGTAGGTCTGGGGTGGACCTGAGATTCTGAATTTCCAATAAGCTTCCAGGTTGAAGTCAATCCC